ACAGCAAATCCTCAATGAGTTGGGGTTTTTTTGGAAGGTTATATTTTCTAGGGAATTACAGTGTGTAACCGTCTTTCTATTTAAGATATTTTTACTAGAAAATTAACTTAATATAGCTTTTTTTTCAGCTATAGGAAAAGAAGACTATGGAAACAAGCAGAAAAGAAGATGTGAAGAAGAAGATGGAAACCGGAAGAGAAGAGCAGGTAAAACCTTGTGATTCTTGTGGCTTTAAAAACCCAAGACTTTCATTTTAAGTGAAACTAATAATGCAAACTGAATTGTTTTTGATTCACATATGTTTGGCTGCCCATTTGTGCCTACCTGCATCTCAGATCTACGGATGAGGATTTTTCCCGGTGAATATCTTGCAGTCCCTTAGGATGGATTTCATCCAGGATGTGAGATTTATTTCTTCCGCTCCACTTTAAATAGTGCTAGGCTTTGTATTTCTACATAGAAATAAAAGTCAGGCTTCTGTTATTACAAATTGAAGTTTAACCCAGTTAGACGTATTTGCTTTCAGGGTAAATATGCCACAGGAATTCAGATTCCCAGAATCATAACTGGTATTTCATGTGTAAGTATATAACATGCTAAAGTAAGATCACAAATGTTGGCCATTTAGACTTTGCTCCACATGGGGTATAACAGTCTCCCTGTGATACTGGATACTTTGTTCAACTGATAGAGGTATTTGCTGTCAGTCTTTACAGGGTATGCTTCAAAGCCTTAACTGCACTAATGAGCCTTAATGGCCCCTGACCAGCCTCACCTGGGGCCTCCAGCCACACGCCTTGCCTACGGCCCCGGGAACCCCATTTCAGCTCAGCCCTGGGCCTTCAGTTGTTTTCTGAGCTCCCTCTCAGGGCTTGGTGAGGGCCAGCTATTTTCTGAGGGAAGGGTACTGTGACTGACTGTGAGGGCAAGGGCCTTATAAGCAGCAGAGGCCCAGAGAGTTTCACTTTCTGAAGAGGAAAGGAAGGAAGAACCTGAGAACCATGGATGGTGCTCCAGGCTCTGGAGGGAAGTGTGCTCTAATAATTCAAAACTTTTTCCTTGTCCTTCAAATAGTGACCTTATCTGCTATGCTATGGTTGTCCCTCTCTACTTCTGACTCACTGTTCTAGGTCCTTTCTCTTTCCTTTGTCAGGCCTGTTGTGTGACCAAATACACAGTCCCACAGTAAGCCAAACTTGCTGCATGCCAGTTACTTTGTGGTAATTTTGGATGTCAGTCACTGGGCAAAAAATGGGTTAGAAAAGGAAAGTTGTTGCTATCCTATTTAGTAGGTGTTCCAGGGCTTTTATAACTGATGCATCTGGTTGGTTCCAGTTTCTGTATTAAAAACAGAAGCACAGTAGTATTTAATCCATAATCGAGCCATCACTATGCAGGAGTAATCAGAGTTTCTGTTCACCACATTCCTCCAAACCTTGTGTGTATGTAAGTCAGCTATAAAATTGTATATAAGTTTTTGAATAGTTACTGTTGTCAGTCAGTGAGAAAATCAGGAGTGCTTCTGGTGGTTTTTGAATTGGACTCTCAAATCATGTTTGCTTTGTGAGGTGTGAAGAAATGAAAATTATAAAGTAGTTATGAAATTTTATATATATATATAAAATTATACATAATAAATGTAATTACCCAAGATGTACCGGTGGCAGAACCACTTTTTAGTTTCCTTTTTCATACATTCAACCCAAAACAGGCCTTCTTGGAAGCAGGATAGTGAATTAGGTGAGCAGCATAGCTGCTCGTACGAGTCTTCTGACTACTTTTTATACCTATTTCCGGTTTTTGTTTTCCTGGAAGAAGTAAAAAACAGCATTTTGTATTCTGGGGTCAAAAAGCTATTCCGGGACCAAAATGAATTTAAATGGAGATCAATAATGAGGATAGTGATTTATGAATTAAATTAGAATCTCACTTAGGGATGCATCTTCCTATGTTGAGGTGCTAACTTGAAAAGTTTTAAATCGTTTTATTGATACATCTTTGTCATATGAAACATAACATGACAGTTAATTACTAATCGTATTGTTCTACCATTTTCAAATATAAATTATATTTGACTGCAGAGCAGCAGAAGAATGTAATCTGGATGATCAGTTTAACTGTGCCCTCATGTATTTTAAAAAAAAATCCCACTGACCAGAAAAATAGTTGAACTGGGCTCTCTTTTAACTGTGATTTGGGAAAGCTATTTGTAATATGTTAAACAGGTGCAAACCTAGTATTAAACATGTGCAACAGAAACATCTTCTTTATATCTTGGAATCTGGGATGTGTGGATTTCTAATAATCGCTAATCTTACTTTGTATATGACCCAAAGATTTTTATGTGTAGGTATAGATAATGGTGGATAGACGGACTTAGGTTTCAGTTGAGATCATGAGATAAATGGAGTGAGTTTGATCCATATGGGTCACACCTTACTTAAATTATACTCGTGTTTAAATCATGCAGGGTGTTAAGAATTTTATATGTGTTATGAAAGCCTACCTGAAATTTGTTTCAGCCATTTAAAGCTAAGTTGCCTTAAATGGTGGCAAAGATTTGGTAATAACCATATCCAGAACTGCACCTTTTCCCATTTAACAGTTCTGATGATGTTGACTTAGAGGCACTTTTAAAGATTTACTGACATTGACTGATCAGCTATCAAAGAATGTTTTTGACATCTGAGTCACTGTTATAAATTACAGATGTGACAGGACAAAGTGCTTTTATGTTAACCAAGCAATGACAAAATGCTTTGGTACCACAGAAGATGGAGAAGAGCTCAAAAATTACTTTTTTGAGTATACTATCTGTATAGTATTCTTGTATATAGTATACAACTATACAATTATACTATACTATCTGTATAGTAGAGCGATAAGACAGATAATGTATTGTAAGTACTTTTAAAACCTTTTGCATTTTTCTTAATTTGATTTCTATTTTCAGTCAGTTTTCTTCTTTTTCTGAGGAAACAAAGTGCTAGGAAATTGCTCTAGCCCTTTGTGTTCTCTTGGTTATCCTAATAAGCTTGTCAATTTTATCAAAATTTTACATGTAATTAAGTTCCTACACTTTTTTCTCAAGTTGATCACCATGTAGAGGAGACACTATAACCATATTAACTGAGTTAAACTTAAGTGTGAGTACATGTCTTATCAGATACCAGACAATTGACAAAGGCACGTCCTTACGCCGTAGTCACAGAAAGTTTCGGTCACAAGCAGCAGCATCTTGGACACTAATGACAGTGAATGAAGAAATAATACTTAGTCATTCCTGTGTACAAGGCTCTGTTTGTTACCTTTTCTTATTAATGTTCTCCCTGGGGTAAACTTCTCTTCCCTGCTTAGCATCTCCCAGCAACTGTGACCATCTTCCTTTTCCTTCCTGGCCTTTTCCTTCTACGCTGGGTTTCTTGGTCAGTTTTCATTTCCTCTCACTCCTGGAGTGAAGATTTTTTTCTGCCTCCAGAGATTTAGAGTCTCTTCTTTTCTTCCAGCAATTAAAGGGTTTGGGTTCTCTGTCCCAAGGTCTTCTCTTCTTACATATTCTCACTCCTCCTTCTCCAGACTGCCTGCAGGCCTTCTTCTTCTGCCCTTATGGTTTTTCTCTTGGAGTGTTTATTCTTAACAGTGTTTTATTTCTTTTTGTCCCTCGCCGAGGATTTCCCTTTTACCCTCAAGATTTTCCTTTTTTCCTTTTGCTCTGCCCTTAGCTGACACCAGATAATCCTGGTTCCCAATTCCGATAGTCCCGTGGGAACCCTTTTTCAAACGCACCACTAGTGAAGTGGAAGCTTCTTGCATGAGAAGCACGAAAAGTACTGCCAGGAGATGAGATGGGAAAGCTACTGTACCTGCAGTGGGAAGGAGGCAGCCTCTTGTCCCCTCTGGCGGGCTGCCAGCCGTGCGACCTGAGATGGACCCTCAGCCTGCTCCGTGGGGTCTCTTCTACTGGCTGCAGTGACACATCAAAGGGGTGCTGAGCAGCTCGCAGCTCCTCTTACCTGTTCTTCCTCCCTTTTCCTCTTCTACACCTCTCTGACTTCACCCTACTTTGCCTTCTGCTCCTTCCCCTTCCGGATTTGTTTAAACCTGTCCGCTAGCCATTTTCTTCTTGCGTAACACTTTACTGAACCATTCTTCTTTAAAAATCCCATTATCTTAGTAGCTTGCCTTTTTTGTGCCCTTTTTTCTGCCTTTTCTGTCCTTTTATTTAATTTTACATGCAGAAGCCTGGTCTCTTTTGAAGAGAGGGAACAGCTTGCAGATGAAAAAAAATGACCTGTAATCTTGTGAGTTTTCTTCTGGCCCCTTTGCAATGCCTTTAAGTGTAACTGAGGGGAGCTGACTAGTGTGGGTGAGGTGGGTGGACCGGATCCTGGGCACCGCTCCCGGGCTCAGCTGTGGTCGTGTGCCCCTCAGCTGGAAGCACTGCTCCGTTCTGCTCTCAGCACAACAGCAAAAATTGAACAACGCTTTCTTCCTCGCTTTATTGGTCCGTCTGGATTTAGAGAGGATTGACAAAATAACGGAGTTTATGAAAGGTGCCAACACCGTCCTTTCTGATGACCCCTGCAATCCTTTGCCAGCCCAAGAGGGTAACATGATTTAATCTGCGGACGATCTCTATGACAGAACCTCAACAACGCCTGTGCTGCTGCCTGTGTGTCTGGCTCGGCGTCTCCTGTGGGGAATTTGTAGCATCCAGCCGCTGGCATCTTCTGGCGGAAGCTCAACCATTTGAAGAGGAGGGGAGGGGAAAAAAAAATCCCAGTCAGGGTGTTTGTGCATGCTGTTCTCTGGCTCCTCGCCTAGGTGTTCTGCTGAAGGACTGGGACATCTGGGTGGCAGGGAGAGCTTGCTCTGCCTGGGGCTGAAGTTCCGTCAGCGCTGGGGGGGGGTGAGAGCGCGCAGGGGAGGCCAGCGGCAGGGACGGGATTGCACTACCCGGAGCGTACGCAGGCAGACTCGATTAAAATATTTCAAGCCTAATGGCCTCTGGCATAAACAAGATTCATCAGTCCGGGACTTGCAATGGATCTAAAGCCGCTGGCAACAGCTCAGCGAAGGAATGCAGCCAGGAAATGCACATGAAAATGTGCAAGAAGATTGCCCAGCTGACTAAGGTAAGTCTCGCCGTTGCAGCCTTCCCAGGGAGGTTGAGGCTGCCCTGGCCGGGGGATGGCCCCTGTCTGAGAGGAGGGAAGGGAAACCGGCCCTCTCTTACGAGGCTACTCCTGAGAACATCGGTGTGCACAAACTTCCTTTCAAACAGTTCCCCCGCGGGTGCTGCAGACCGACCTGGGCGAGTTGCCTTCGTGGCTGCCGATCGACGTCTCGCACTTAACAGCTCTAATTAGCGGGCAACAATAGCGACAAGAGCTCAAGCTCTGCGAAGGCACAGGGTTTGTCTGCGTGCTGCTCGAAGGGATTGGTGGTGTTTGCTTTTTTTCCTGAATTACAAAGACAGCAATTCATTTGCGTGTTATAGGTTCTCGAGTAATATTGTTGCAAAGTTGCAGCCGAACTGTGGTACTAAAGTACAATATTACTTGTTGTTTTGTACATAATTGTTCCTGATGTACGTAAACAGAAATACTTAAATGACCTTCCTAAAAGACAGGACTTGGAAGAGAGGCAGGACTAAATTACGTAGTATATTGTAGTAGAACTTTTAGTCAATACCAAGCTATACTACTAAATATTTTGAACATTTTCCACACCATATTAAGAAATAAGAGAAAATCAGTAGGAGGTGGCGGTTATCTTTTAAGCTATTTTTATGCTGCCACCCAGGTTAATGAGAAAAAAGCTATTTCCTACCGTGATTTGCTAATCCAGATTTTACGTGTTCTGTAACCTCACTGCAGTTGGTAAAGACATTTTAGCAATGAAAAAACACTGACTACAAATACAGGTCAAACAATAAGAAATGAAGAAGATGTTCAAGTTAGAATGGCTTATTAGTTACAGTGCTATTATTCCCATCTAATGATGACTGTACGTGATAATACATATCTTGTGTTTGAATACATACACAAGTGCTGCCTGTATTTACATATATACTTGCTGTGTTATACTTACTGTGAGATACCAATACTTAGTTTACCAGTGCTTTGATTGTATGTTTGTATAATAGGATTTGTACACAATCCTTACTTGTTGCCCATGAATGCACACGTTACTCTTCAAGGTACATTTTAATTCTGTTGTAATTGAAATAAATCTTTTTTTTTGAACACAGATAGGTTTGAGCAATGAAGTCTGTAAAAATTGCTAAACAGTTTCTGTTTATTGGTAACATTCCTGATTCCTCAGCCACAGTGAAATGTACATGAAAGGTGACTGTAAATTAGATTAAGATGACCTGAGTTGTTCCCTTGTTTTCTGTCTGGTACTCGCTTGCCATCTTTGTTTGATTTTGCACACTAAGTAAAATTTGTCCATAAGTATCACTCAACAAAATCACAGTATTACCTTGTGTAATAGAAAAGCGATAGCTGGGTCTCTTAATTGATAGCTTATACTTCACAGTAACAACAGTTGAGGAATCACCAGCTCCCTCTTTCTGGGTGATCCATTTCTCAGCAGCAGACTTAGAGCATATTGATAAGATCTGTGCAAAGAAACACTTGTTCAAAATTTTCAACTCTCAAGTTAAACTCATTTTCTGTAGAGATTTCTGTGCCCTTTTATATGAAGTGATTCTTTTCACAGTCTCTCTTAATGTCAACTAAATTTTGAGGAAAAAATATCTTAATTTCTGAAAACTCTTAAATTACATTATAAAGCTTGTCTTTGGGTTGGGGAAGGAAGTTCTGCTATGTTAGCAGCAAAAGGGGGAAAAAAGTCACCCCAGTGCAAAGGATCATGGCAAAATTTTATTACAGTGTTTTTTTCAGATGCTTTTTCTAAATTTCTACTATTAAAATGTGGGTGAGGTGATTACTTTTAGTAGAATGTCCCCTCTGGATACTTTTCCATCATCTGAAATAAAGATGATTTATACCTGAAATTCAAAAAAGTACTTCTGAAAAGCAAGTAATTCTGGTATGGAATGTGGCCTTTAAGAACCAATTTTCTCTGCAATAGCACTACACTTGTAGAGAACTCATGGCAGAATTGGAATTTTAATCATACGCTTTCCCTTCTGAATTCTGGGTAGACTAATGCTGTACAAACAGCAAACATCTGAGAAGCAAAATCTGAGACCAGATTAGCTGAAAAGTGGCTATATGGAAAATCTGTTATAATCATTTTTGGCCCAGGAACTTTGAGAGCTCCCTTTCGAATCACTGTTTGCTTGGCTACATTACGGTCGGGATAATTATAAGAAAATCCCTCCTGGCTTTAGGTTGTCTGTAGTGCTTTCTTTTCCTCTTGCTAACCTCGTATGCAATACTGCTGTCTGTTATACAGCTGCAACTTCTGTCCCAGTGATGTTAGATTTTCATTGCTGGGGAGATAATGATCTAATTCGTGATCCACTCCACATGGTGCCAAGAAAAATGAATACAAAATGTTTAAATTAGGTGTAGGATACAGAGCTTGACTTACATTCTGTTTCTTTGTTACATGTCAGTAGTGGCCACTTCCTACTCTCAACGGCAAAGGAGGAGTGTGCAAAGGCATCAACAGCAAAACCAAACTGGGTGAGGTGATCGAGTTTCTATGGTTGCATGAAGTGTTGATGACATTATAAGACATGGGCTGGTACAGAGAATCCCCGTAGGTAACTGGGACACAGAGATCCTGAAAACAGGTCCCATTCTACTGCCCTGCTATTTCTGCTTTTGGAGAGGTGGAATATAATAAGTTTTCTTTCGTTCAGTCATGCATTTTTCTGTTCTGCACCTTTTTGGATGTAGCAGCAAAAATGCAAACCTTTAGAAACGTTTAGTTTGCTTTGGGCAGCAAACTGCTGCTTTTTGTAGCTCATTTATCAGTATTTTTAGGTGACTGGCCCTTCTCATGCAGATTGGCTTTTTCCACTGTTGACATGTAGAACATAGATTGTTTTTCCACACTGAGCTATCACAATGAGCGAAAGCGATGAGCATATTTGTAAGCCAAATCAGGCTCCCTGTTCTGCTCTGCCCTCCCTCTCCCCCCAAAGTAAGGTGGCCTTTGTGTTTCAAGGCAGAAGTGGCTATAGATCCTTGTTTACCACTGGACATCTGTCTGCTCACATGTGAAGTACACTAATGAAAACATGGCAGGGTTTTATTATTAATTGTACAGTTTAGGCTTTGCTTTTAAAGCCTCAGCTCACACTGCTAAATGAATATGTGAGACAACCAGGTTTTGTGTGGGGAAAAATAAAAAGTAAAAGGGTATATTAAAAAGTGCAAGCTGAAATTTTTTGTTCCCGTGGATGAAGACAGAAGTTTCAAAAGCCCTGGTAAGTTTAGTGAGTTTCAATGAGCTGTCTAGCCCTCCTGAATTTTGACCTTAAAATCAGGTAACATTGCAGCTATTTCCAGATGAGCTGTGCTTTGATTTATGAACTTAAAGGAATTAAAACAGAAACATTCTGCTTGCAAATGGGAATGTCCATCTGTAGTTGTCATTGACATATACAAATCACACATTTAGTCGGTAGGTACCTTTCTGCAACACTAGTGCATTCAGATTAATAGGGACTTGAAGTTAGTGCATAGTAGAATGCACGGCTTTGTAGCAGTAATTAAGTTTAGACTTCCCTGTCAGATGTCAGACCCTTGACATGCTGGTTTGTGCTTGCCAGTTCTTTGTATTTCTGTTTAGCAGTATCATGGGCTTTAAAATGCACGGTGACACTTATGACATTTCGGATGTCACTCCCTGCTGCCTCAAGCAACGGATTTCTAACATCCGTTGGCTATTACAGGATTTTCATGTGCTTATGGATTCCCAGGACAATCCTTTTTACTTGAGATAGGATGAGAAATGCAAATGAACTCTTGAACAGGAGTGCTGAGGAGAGTGGATCAGCTTTCACTGAAAAGGCAGTTCTGGCAGGGCTGTCAATAACTAGATACACTGCAAATATCCATGTTATTTAGGCTTCTTTTCAGACCTCTGCCAGTGGGGCTCAAACCAAACCTGCAGTTCTGGAACCAAACCTCATGCAAATAACTAGATTAGTGATGTTACCTGGTGATCAGAGAGCTACCTAGGCCATGAAACAGTTCTATGTCCTTCTTAGAGACAAAATCCTGGATATCAGTGGAGGAATGGTTTTAATTAGAGTAGATAGTTACCCTCAAACTCATTTTCCTTAGGGGTTCATCTGACTCAATATTGGGAATTTGGGAACCTTGTTGTAAGAAGCATGTTTTAAATTGCAGTATTTCTGGTCAAGTAGATTGTTAGTCAAAAAATCAGTCTGCAAAGAATTTTGTGTATGTATGTTGGATACTGTGAGTCTTAGAGTAAGAGAGTGCCAGTGCAGGCAGAAGTTAATTACTGGTAAAACACAATCAAGAACCTTTTTTTTCCCTTCAGGGGAAAGAAATGTCAAAAGGGAGCAAGTGTGTTCCTATTCTAGAAGCAGCAGCATAGGCAGATGTTCCTTAATGACTCTTATGTGAAGCAGCTGAAAATGTTACACACTCCGACTGCTTATCACCACCAGTCACCAGGAGGTTTATTGCCCCTCGGCTCAGTCAGCAGGATAGAAAATATGAACATTATTTAATAAGCTTAAGTGGAAAATCAACCAGATAAGCAAAACCCTCTTTCATGACTTATTTAAGGACGGATGTCTGACTTCTGCACTGAATCGTATGAGAGATATGCTCCTATTCAGTTCTGTTAGTTTCTCTCTGTGGGTGCAAATTTACTGAAGGATTAGCAAGTGCCCTGGTATGTATGTGAGCCAGTGTTTTGCAGCATGGCTGTATGTTAGATCTTTTAACCTTTCCTGTTTTATTTGATATTTTAAAAAATGGCTAATAGGTTTAGGAATGTAATACAATTAAATTCTAATGGCTTACTCTGGAAGCACCTATCAGCTGAGCAACTGTAATGGCACTCCTGTTGTCTACTCATGTTTCTAGTTGAAATATGTTGCCTTTTTCACATAGTTTAAGCTAAGTTTATTGACCTTATTTACTGTGATGTGTTGACAGTACTCAATAACCAA